AATAAACAAGAAGACATGCAGGGAAGTTATCAAAATAAAGCATCATATCACATCAAAAATTCTAATCTCCCTCCCACACCTAATTAGTGCAATGTCCCTATTGCAAGAACAAAGATGAAATAAAGGAAAGGAGAAAAGAAACTTCCCTGGAATAGGTGGGGACGAACGGCCCGCTTAGGACCGGCGACGGAGGTGCAAAAGCTTTTCAATGGAGTCTAACTGTCCTTTTAGAGCCGCTTGTCCGGCTAAAATCGCATCAAGCTTGCCACGAAGGTCATTATTATCCTCCTTCACTATTTTAACATCAGATGCCAACGCCTGTAAAGTAGAGCCAGTGGCGGATCGCGCAAGAGCACCATCCTCAGTAGAAGCAGTGATAGGGGGTTCCTCTCGGTCATCATCAAACTGGACTACATTGCAATGGGACGGCCAACGCCACCGATTAACAAGGCGATATCCAGCATCATCTTTTACTACCATACCCATGCGGAACAATACCACCATATCCAAGTACTCGATTGGTCCCACTTGATGGAGGCGCCTCCTAGAAATAACAGAAGCATCAATACTAGGGAGAACACTCAAACTAATAGCAAGAGTAGTTATAAACGAGGCACCAATCGAATCTCTTTTTTTCTTAAAAACTTCACTAAACTGCACAGCCAACCAGTACCTAAGATTAACCCTAATGCCACTAGTCATGCACCATAGAAAGAAAAATTCAGTTTTAGTAACAATACTGGAGGTACCCCTACGCCCGGAAATAAATAAAGCAATGAAACGCTGAATATAACGAAGGGCGGGGTCATTCAGTCTACGGGCAGGCATATTATTGTCAAAACAAACTTCTCCATCCACAGAAATTCACTCCATAATTTCTCGACTGAAATAGAAAAGGGCTCAACAAACGCACATGCAACGGTACTGAAAGAATCACCCTCAAGCTCCTCGGAAATCACAAAACCTAAATGTAAATTAAATTCTGCTAAAGAAAGCTTAAACACTTTACCAAGCAAACGGAATCTAATTACATCAGGTTGCATTACATCAAATTGTTTAGGCAAGTCAAACACAAATGTAGAGAAGAACTCGAGGGCAAGTTCAATGAAACCAGGTTGTTGATAAGTAAATAAACAACTCCAACCAATGCTAGATATGTAATCAAAAACAACATCTTTAATGCCTAACTTCTCAAGTGTTTCAACGTGAATGCACTTACCCGAGAAAATGATGTTACCGCACAAAAGTTCGTACCTTGTCTGTTCCTCGGGTGCGAAAGAATGTAAATGGCCCCCAACTTGAGTTGGAGACAACACTTGAACTGAGTTACCTTTTCGTGCCCGTGCATTGGTGGGTGCAGAAGTAGGAAAATCGACTGGAATTTTGGGCATTTTATTACCTGCATCTCTACCCCGCAACTGAGAAGATGTCCGTTCCCTCAATGCATGTTCCTTTGTTCTTTTGCATCCTCTCGTCTTTGAAATAGTCGACGACCGCGTAGCCATTGGAATCCCGGGGGGAACCGGATCCGATATCTTGGCCTTGCCCATAGCCTACACTCAAGAGAAGTTACAATCAAATTATAATTCCGCAATATAAACTCCAACTCCAATAACAATCGGGAATCAAGCAGTCAAACAAGCGCAATCATCCAAAATAAAAATAAAAATCTGGCCTACTCATCCATATGCATTCATTCATCAATTTCCCCAAAGTAACCCGATCATATACTCCCTAATCCAAATTTGCATAGATCAACTAATTCTAGATAATAGGAAAGCAAAATCGATAGGAGTTATCTAAGGGAATAGAATGCAATAGAGAATAAGAAAATAGAACTCCCTGAAGAATGCAAGTAACAGCTAGGAGGGCAGGGCTGTGGACCGGCGGTTCGAAGGGGAGGATGGCGGACCGGAATCGGACAGATGGACAGCGGCTGGGCGACGGCGGTTAGCGGCGGCGAAACGGCGGCGTAAACTGGTTCGGGGCAGAGCAAAGAGGGAGGCGGCCGCTCCTGCGAGAGAATAAGGGAGAGAGAAAAATGAATTAGGATTTTAAGGGTTTAATAATAATAATAATAATAATAATAATAATAATAATAATAATATGATAATAATTATTATAGTAAGGATAATAAATATAGTAATAATAATAAACGTAATTGAAATAATAAATATAGTAATAAATATGGAAAAAAAATTAGGATTTAATTACTATAATAATAATTATAATTATAAAAACAATAATAAATATAGTAATAAATATCATAATAATTATAATTATAGATGTAGTAATAAATATAATAATAAGAATAAATATAGTACTATAATAATAATAAATATAGAAACAAAATATATATATAAAAAAATAGCTATAATAATATTTATTATAGAAATAATAAATAAATATAGTAATATTAAATTTTTAATAATAAAAATAAATATAATATATATAATAATTCCCAAAATAAACCCTCTTTCTGCACAATTTTTCAGAATGTAAAATTTCATTAGGTGTGATCACGACTAAAGAAGTTGTACGTTCTGATTTCTTTAAAAAAAATTCTCTCTCATCAATCAGAACACACTGGATGCGTGGCCACGCCTAAAAATCATTCTCATTCAACTCCACTCAACCACAAAAATTTCACCCATCATCAAAACACCAAAAACAAGACATGAAATTGACTCTGAAACACAACAAAACTAAAAGCACACAAAATCAAATCAAAACACTTAGGTTGCCTCCCAAGAAGCGCCTTTGTTTATTGTCTTTGGCTCGACACAACATCTCTTAAGCTAATCACGCGGCTCAAAGAGAGCTACGCACTCCACTTCTTTGTTCTGGAACCCCTCATAGTAAAGTTTAAGATGATGTCCATTCACAACAAACCTCTTTTCCGTGCTTAGACTTTGAATCTCAACTGCACCATACGGAAAAACGTTAGTAATCAAAAACGGACCTATCCATCGAGAGCGAAGCTTACCCGGAAACAGGTTAAGTCGATAATGATAGAGCAAGACGTTTTGTCCAACTTTGAATTCTTTCCTCAAAATATTATTATCATGAAATTTTTTACTTCTCTCTTTATAAATCATAGCATTCTCGTAAGCTTCGTTTCGAATCTCCTCCAACTCTTGCAACTGTAATTTCCTACATTCTCGAGCTTCACTCAAATTCATGTTACACTGTTTAATCACCCAAAAAGCCCTATGTTCAAGTTCAACAGGTAAATGGCAAGGCTTACCAAAGACTAACCTGTAGGTCGACATCCCCATTGGAGTTTTGTATACAGTTCTATACGCCCATAGCGCATCCTCTAAGCGTAAACTCTAATCCTTCCTATCCGACCTCACCATTTTCTCCAAAATTCCCTTTATCTCTCGATTGGAAACCTCTGCTTGCCCGTTTGTTTGCGGATGATATGATGTTGAGACCTTATGAAGAACCCCATACCTGCGAACAAAGCTGAAATGGTTTTGTTGCAAAAATGTGTGCCTCGATCACTTACTATTGCCCTAGGCATTCCAAAGCGAGTGAAGATCAAGGACTTCAGGAAATCTGCAACAACCTTAGCATCGTTAGTTCGGGTAGCCTTTGCTTCCACCCACATCGACACATAATCAAAAACAAGTATGATATACAGAAAACCATGTGAAAGTGGAAATGGACCCATAAAATCCATACCCCACACATCGAATACCTCAACAAACAACATCGGTGTTAGGGGCATTTGATTTCTAGCAGAAATATTGCCTACTCTTTGACATTTATCACATGCTTTGCAAAATTCATAAGCATCCTTAAATAATGTAGGCCAATAAAATCCACTATCGAGTACCTTTCTTGCAGTCCGTTGGGAGCCAAAATGACCTCCACATTCTAATGAATGACAAAATTTCAAAATGGACTCACACTCACTTTCTTCAACACAACGTCGAATAACTTGGTCCGCACATCGTTTCCACAAGTAGGGATCATCCCAAACATAGTATTTTGCATCGCTTTTCAGCTTGTCTTTCTTTGTTTTTGTCCATCCTGTAGGGAATTTATTAGTGACCAGATAGTTCACTAAATCAGCATACCAAGGAGAAGAACAAGAAATCGCAAGTAATTGCTCATCCGGAAAATACTCCCTCAAATGTAATTCATCATGAACCATAGGAAGACGGCTTAAATGGTCAGCTACCAAATTTTCACTTCCCTTTTTATCTCAAATCTCCACATCAAATTCTTGTAGAAGTAATATCCATCGTATAAGCCTTGGCTTGCTTTCCTTTTTCGCCATTAGATAACTCAAAGCTTCATGGTCAGAAAATACAATTACTTTAGTACCCAGCAAGTAATATCTAAATTTTTCTAAAGAGAAAACAACAGCTAAGAGTTCTTTTTCAGTAGTGGAGTAGTTCAATTGGGCTCCATTGAGTGCTTTTGATGCATAGTAGATTGCCCATGGAATCTTTCCACTTCTCTGTCCAAGTACAGCCCCCACTACCGTGTCGCTTGCATTACACATAATCTCAAAAGGTAAATCTCAATTCGGTGGTTGAATGATGGTCGGTGATGTTAGCAACTTTTTAATCTTGTCAAATGCCTTCTTACACTCTTCATCAAACTCAAATTGAACATCCTTTTGTAACAATGGAAAAGAGAAGCAGCCACCTTCGAGAAATCTTTAATGAACCGACGATAAAATCCTGCATGCCCTAAAAATGAACGCAAATCCCTCACCGAAATGGGATAGGGTAAAGCAAAGATAATATCAATCTTGGTTTTATCTACCTCTAATCCTTTTGATGAAACTAAATGTCCAAGAACTATTCCCTCTTCTACCATAAATTGATATTTTTCTCAATTCAACACTAACTTGGTTTCTTTACACCTTTTCAAAATCACAACCAAATTGTCTAAACATGTGTCAAAGTCATCTTCATATACACTGAAATCATCCATAAAACTTCAATAATCTTCCCTACATATTCAAAAAATATGCTTACCATTCACCATTGAAATGCCGCAGGGACATTGCACAAGCCAAATAGCATTCTTCTATAAGCAAATGTGCCAAAAAGACATATGAATGTCATCTTTTCTTGATCCTCCAGTGCGATGGCAATTTGGAAATAACCTGAAAAACCATCTAAGAAAAAAAAATGAGATTTTCCCGTTAACCTCTCAACCATTTGATTAATGAAAGATAATGGAAAATGATCTTTCTTTGTGACTGAATTTAGCTTACGGTAGTCGATGCATTGACGCCAACCGGTTTGTTTTCGAACCGGTATCAACTTACCATCGTGGTCAGCCTCTACAGTAACTCCCGCCTTCTTTGGGACAACATGAATTGGACTCACCAATTGGCTATCCGAGATTGGATAGATAATGTCAGCATCCAAGAGCTTCAAGATCTCTTTCTTTACGACTTCCATCATAGCATGATTCAACCTCCTTTGAGCTTGCCTTATTGGCTTGGCATCAAGAATCTTGTCGGTGCAAAGAAATAGGCTAATCCCCTTTATATCAGCTAACGTGCACCCAATGGCTTCTTTGTGCTCTCTCAAAATTCGGATCAACTTCTCCTCTTGACTAGGAGACACTGCAGCAGATATGATCACCGGTAATGTCTTTCCAACTCCTAGAAAAACATATTTCAAGTTCGAGGACAATGACTTCATCTCCAAAGCCGGTGCCTGCACAACAGATGGCAACAGCCCCTTATCAGATTTTGCTAAAACTGAATTAACCACAACATACCTTAATGGTTCATGTGGCAAATATTGCAAAGCCAGAATCATTTCTTCCAATGCACCACTTATGGGAAATTCATCCATAGATTTCATGTCCAAGCAGTTTGTAAGTGCAACCTCCAAGTCATCCTTTCCACTCAAGTCAAAGACTTCCTGCACATTTTCAGTAAGGACATCTACACAATACAAGGTATTAGGCTCCACAAGATATCTCATTGCATCAAAAATATTGAAATGAACCTTTACACCTTCGAACTCCATAGTCAATTTCCCTGTTTTAACATCTATCTTTGTTTGTGCAGTGCACATAAAAGGCCATACAAGCAAAATGGGGGAGGGATTAGGTGAATTGTCATCATGCATATCTAGAACATAAAAATCAACAGGGAATATTAACTCATTCACTTGCACAAGAACATCCTCAATTATCCCTTCAGGGTAAGCGTTGGTTCTATGGCAAGTTGAATTATTATCCCCGCTTCTTTCAAAGGCCCAATGTTCAAGGAGTTAAAAATAGACTTAGGCATAACATTTATACCTGCTCCTAAATCCAACATAGCCTTTTTAATTTCCATTTTACCTATTTTGCACGGGACTACAAACATACCTGGATCTCCGCACTTTTGTGGCAATTTCCTTTGCAGCACAACGGACACAGTCTCTCCACCTAGCACCTATTCCTCCCTTCTCAACTTCTGTTTCTTAGTACACAGTTCCTTCAGGAATTTCGCATAATGGGGAACTTGCTTAATTGCATCAAGTAAAGGAATACTTAGCTCTACTTTCTTAAATATCTCCATGATCTCTTTGTCCTTGTCACTTTTAGCCGGTTTCACTAACTTGTGAGGAAATGGAGCACTATTAAAATTGGATTGAATAGGAGGATCAGAAATTACCTGATCAGTAGTCTTGTTCGCTTCATGCTCAATCTCCTTCTCAATCTCCTCTTCACCTCTCTTTTTTTCAGTAATCACCTTCGAACCCTCCAGCTCCTTACCACTCCGCAAGATCATTGAACTAACATTGCTCGGGTTCATGTGGGTTTGAGCTGGCAGCTTGCCTTTTTCCTTTTCTTTCATCTCACGCACCTCTTTCATGACTTGAGACATATGATCTTCCAAGTTCTTTATGCTTGTTCTCGTCTCTTGCTGAAATTGCAAAACATTAGAGGCGATTGTTTTCACCATATCATGCAAAGAGTTAACAGGAACGGGAGCTTGGTGCATAGCCCTTTGTTGTTGTTGTTGTGCTTGTGGTTGGAAACCCAGTGGTTATTATTGTCCATAGGATTGATGATTCTGATTCCCATATCAAAAATTGGGGTGGTCTCGCCATCCCGGGTTAAATGTGTTCGAATAGGGGTCATAAGCCCTTCTTGGTGAAAAACCTGCAGCATTCACTTCCACATCTTCTCTTAGTGTGGGACAAGCATCCGTGGGATGCTCAACACTCCCACAAATTCCACAACTTCACTTAAGCATTACCTATAGCAAGTTTCCTCACAAAAGCAGTTAGCTCATTCAATTGTTGTTGCATAGGAGAACTTACCTCAACAGCTTCTTTCACTCCTACGACATCCCTCGGCCCAAATTGTTGAGAGTTCATGGTCATATCATTCAGCAATTCCCAAGCTTCTCTCGGAGTCTTATTCATTAAAGCACCTCCACTGGCAGCATCGATAATCCTCATGTCAATAGAAGTTAGTCCTTCATAAAAATATTGAATTAAAAGTTGCTCAGAAATTTGATGTTGGGGACATCGAGCAATTAATTTATTGAATCTATCCCAATACTCGTATAAGGACTCCCCTGATGCTTGTTTGATGCCACAAATCTTTTTTCGCAAATTCGCAGCCCGGGATGCAGGAAAGAACTTCTCAAGAAATTTGCGCTTCATATCCATCCGTGTGATAACACTCCCGGCCGACAAGTTAAACAATCAATCTTTAGTTGCATCCTTCAAAGAAAATGGAAAAGCTCGGAGCTTTATCTGATCCTCAGTGACTCCCGGAGGTTTCATACTCGTACATACCACATCGAATTCCTGCAAGTGCTTGTGTAGTTCCTCCCCTGTCAAGCCATGAAAAGAAGGCAATAAATGTATTAGTCCAGATTTAAGCTCAAATGCCGTATTATCAGCTATAGCCGGAAAAGTAATACACAAAGGGTGCTGAATTAAGTCGGGAGCAGTTAGATCCCTCAAGGTTCTTTGTGCCATTGGATATATCAAAACTTTTTCAACTTCCTTGGCCTCTTCACCCTCGTCAGAACTAGAGGTATCCGCTAGTTGGATAGCTAAGTTAAGTCCCGGTGACTCAACTTCTTTCTCAGCCCTCTTTCGCTCTTTAGCTTCTTTCCTCAAACGGCGTGCAGTCCTTTCGATTTCTGAATCAAACACTAATTCACCTGTACGACCAGTTCGAGGTATAAACCATTAAGTGAAAATTGGAGCTAAATAAATAAAAGAAACAACCAAATATCAAATATTCTTATACTGTTCCCCGGAAACGGCGCCAAAATTGGTAGCGTGTCGCACAGCTGCAAAATAAAATATCAATTCCTACGTCCCACAATATGTAGTATAGCAATAGTGAGTAGGGTCGTCTCCGCAGGAAAACAGTAATTCTTTCTCTATTTGATTGATTATAATTATATTAATATATATTGGGGGGGGGGGGGAATTTGATTATCACACTAAATAAAAAAGAATCAAATTTACTTAATAAACGCAAGTTAACTATAATGCAAAATTTGCGGTCTACCAAATATGATTAAACTCTAGCATAGGCATGAATTTTTCATTCGGGATATGAAATTTGATCATCGACTAAAAGTTAAATTCATCGACTAGTTGGATAAATTGGTTATAGTTGATCTACACGCATTCATAACCAACATTTCCTTACTTTTTCGATAGTTAAGGTACGACCGTTAGCTATTTCTCTAATCGGGAAAGAATCCTAGGTACGACCGTAGTTTTCTAACTCGACAGTAGTAAAAAAAAAAAACTAGAAAGGCCCAATTCAATTTAACAAGCTCCTACGAGGATTTGTTAAAACTGATTTTAATTCTTCCCTAGTGTGTTCTTCTCTAGGTTGCTACGCCAATTGGAAAATTACACAATTACTTATGTCAATCCCCAATGTAGCTATGAAATACTAAATTGATACGTGCGCAATAATCAATTCAAGATTTCTAAACTCATCAATTAGAAGAATTAAAAATACCCAACATCGATGAACAACAATTTTAATTGAAACCAAGTCTCACAATTTCAATCCCGAAAATCAATTCATACCTACACTAGAAATGAAACTACTTGCAATCCATAGCAATTAAAAACATAAAATAAATCAAATAGTTCATCATGCCTTCAAGTTTAAAAATCGACAACAAACCAATTCTAGAAATGAAGAAAAAGGTGCCCGGAAGTTCTTCTGCGTTGCTCTCCAAAGTTCTCGTACGTAGTGTTCGACCTTCCCTTCTCTTCTCTTTCAGAAAATGGGTTGTAGGTGAGATCGTGGTTTTGCGTTTCTTCTTCCGCTTCTTTATTGACCCTAACTCTCCTTTTCAATTAATCACTTAAGATATCCTTTGCACTTTAAACCAAACAATTCTAAAATTGCTAATTAACCCCGGAGGACCTTTTTGCAGTTTTTATTCTTCCTGCTTCGTGATCACGCCTAAGGACTTCCTGCTTTCTGCTTTTCTCTCCAATATGCCCAAAATTTGTCAACTCCTCAACGCCTAGTAGAAAGTTCAAAAACACACCATTATGAGCATATATACAAAATTCGCATCCAAAAACCGTCTAAAATATAGCAAAATATTTATCTAATATCGCATATATCACATTACTCGTTACTTACAAAAATAAAATTACATCACTTTAAAAAAATAAAATGATATCACTTTTAAAAAATAAATTTACACATTAGGTTAAAAACTAATAAAATTATATCACTTTCCAAAAAGTAAAGATATATATCTATTTTAAAAATAAAACAATATATTATTTTAAACAAAAATAAAATTATCACTTTTTAAAAAATAAAATTATACATTAGTTTTCAAAAAAATAAAATTATATATAACTTTTAAAAATATAAAATTATATATCATCTTCTAAAAAAATAAAATTACACAATAGACTCCAAAAAATAACAAAAATATAAAAAATATCACAAAATTACATAATAAATTCCGTAACACTGTACACAAAATGGGGCTGAGGTGTACATAACATTGTACACTACTTAAGAAATGGGGGATTTGAGGGTGGATTGGAGCCCGTCACCCTATGCAGTGGGTTAGAGATGTAATTCTAGTACCTACCAGACATCTTGACATGAAAAAAATAAATAAATAAAATAATCTCTATGCATCATAATATTAATATTAGATGTATTTCATCAATAGTTAAATACTATTTATACAATTTTTACATTACCAAACTACAATCAATGATTAGGTTCGGTCGGAGGTTTGCCTAATGCGCACTTTCGAATAGCGTCACTGAATTTTCACGTTAAAAATTAAGTTGAATGCTCTGACGATAGACTACCTTCGTCCTATTGAAGGTATTCAAATTAAATAATATTCAACTATAGTTTTATCATGAAATCATCTCAATTAAATAATAATCACCAATACTACAAACACACAGAATTACTTTTATTTTTATTTTTTTTATAAAACAAAATTTGTTCAAATTCAAAGGCAAATAATATAAAATTCAGAAATTTAAAACTTCAAATACATTTCTATATTTTAAAAGAGATATCAATTTTGCATAAATTCCGTAAAAAAATCCAACAATTTTTTATCAAATAGAAATGATTCTATAGGATTAGTCCGGAATCACTTTCAATAGTTTTGAAATAGATAATAATAGTGAGTTGTAGTAGAAGCGTACCTAGAATTGGTATCTAGGGTTTAGGATAGACACGAACAGCTAACAAACATATTCATATATGTCGACTCCTTCTGGGCAGCAAAGACAGGAAGCAGTCAAACAAGTAGATTTACGTCAATTTCGGCATCTCTCAGGCAACGACCGAACCGATCAAAAAGACAGTCTTTTTTGCTGTAGATGAGGAAGAAAGAGATAGACGAGAAAAGACAATGCTCTGTCGACGTTGATGAAAAAAGAGGAAAAGATAGATAGTTAATGGTTATTTAAAGAAATTAATTTAGAAAATAGTATTTTTCATATTTTGCCACGTGGATTATTTTTATTAAATGGAATAGATGGAAGAGAGAAAATAGGCACAGAGGATTTGAAACAGTGTGCTCTAAAGTAGTATCAGAACCCTATTGTAAGTTCAATTTGCCCTATGTAGAATTTGATAATGCCATGGTTAAAACCCTCAGATGTAGGTCATTGGTAACCGAACTGAGTTCTTAATTTCTGGTATTTGGTTTCTCTATTTATAGTCTACATATTGTTTGATTATTTCATGAACTGTTTGTGGCGAAATCTGTCTAAGAGCCAGGCCCGGCCCTGGGCCAGGGAGAAAGGGGCCCTCGACCAGGGCCCAAAATGCAAAAGGGTCCATCAGCATGTAGATATATGT